CACCCCTCTGACACACAGAGAGAACACCCCTCTGTCACAGAGAGAACACCCCTCACACAGAGAGAACACCCCTCTGACACAGAGAGAACACCCCTCTGTCACACAGAGAGAACACCCCTCTGACACAGAGAACACCCCTCTGTCACAGAGAGAACACCCCTCTGTCACACAGAGAGAAACACCCCTCTGTCACAGAGAACACCCCTCTGTCACAGAGAGAACACCCCTCTGTCACAGAGAGAACACCCCTCTGACACAGAGAGAACACCCCTCTGTCACAGAGAGAACACCCCTCTGACACAGAGAGAACACCCCTCTGACACAGAGAGAACACCCCTCTGTCACAGAGAGAACACCCCTCTGTCACAGAGAGAACACCCCTCTGACACAGAGAGAACACCCCTCTGTCACACAGAGAGAACACCCCTCTGACACACAGAGAGAACACCCCTCTGACACAGAGAGAACACCCCTCTGACACAGAGAGAACACCCCTCTGTCACACAGAGAGAACACCCCTCTGTCACAGAGAGAGAACACCCCTCTGACACACACAGAGAGAGAACACCCCTCTGACACAGAGAGAACACCCCTCTGACACAGAGAGAACACCCCTCTGTCACAGAGAGAACACCCCTCTGACACAGAGAGAACACCCCTCTGACACACAGAGAGAACACCCCTCTGTCACAGAACACCCCTCTGTCACAGAGAGAACACCCCTCTGTCACAGAGAACACCCCTCTGACACAGAGAGAACACCCCTCTCACAGAGAGAACACCCCTCTGACACACAGAGAACACCCCTCTGTCACAGAGAGAACACCCCTCTGACACAGAGAGAACACCCCTCTGACACAGAGAGAACACCCCTCTGACACAGAGAGAACACCCCTCTGACACAGAGAGAACACCCCTCTGTCACAGAGAGAACACCCCTCTGTCACAGAGAGAGAACCCCTCTGACACACAGAGAGAACACCCCTCTGACACACAGAGAGAACACCCCTCTGTCACAGAGAGAACACCCCTCTGACACAGAGAGAACACCCCTCTGTCACACAGAGAGAACACCCCTCTGTCACACAGAGAGAACACCCCTCTGACACAGACAGAACACTCATATTCCACTGAGTCGTGTTCTTTAGTCCGACAGAAACTGAACCACATCAGACACACAAGAGCGTTTTTTTTCCCTGCTTAGTTTATGCAAATGAGTCATGTGGTTTTAAGTTTCGTTTCTATTTGCACAAATCTGCATTAAAACATGATAATGTTAAACAGCTGATGTGGATCTAAAGCAGGAGAGTCAAACTCATTTTGGTTCCGGGGGTCGTGTATCCAACCGACTTTGATCCAAAGTGTCCGGAATCAGAAAACTCATGTCATATAAACCCCAAAAAATAACAATAAGTTCAAATATTTGTGCAGAGAAACGCAAATCTATTACAGAAATCTTTTTTAATTGATGAACTCTTTCTTATTATAATATTATAATATTATGAACAACCTGAAACTTTAAGAAAAATTCTATTTCAACACAAAGTTTTGAACATGAACTTGTCTGTAAACAGGAATAAGTCCATTTTTGTTGTAAAATCCTGCACTCGGCTCCACTTTTCTCATGTTGGACATTTTTCTGATGAGGGTGTCACGGTCAACAGTCAAAACGATCGTCCTTTAAGAGCGTTTGGAAAGAGACAAGTCTTCATTTGTGCTGCTCTGGTGGGAGGGGCCACGTACAGAGACGCTGGAGATGCTGCTGTGATAAGCACCGCAGAAAATTTCCAATATTTTAATAGAAAATATAATAAAAATATTTTAGTAGAAAATCACCCAAGGGCCACATTAAAGGTCTTGAAGGGCCAGATCTGGCCCCTGGGCCTTATGTTTGACACCTGTGATCTAGAGTGTTTATGTTTATATGTTGTAAAGTTGAGTTTATTTATGCAGATTAGTAACAGTAATAAAAATGATGATACTGTGGAATGTAAACGACTGCATCTGTTAAAGTTTGTTAAACAATAAATGACTTTATAAAGTCTCTTTTTTTGTTCTATATCAGTGTTTTGATCTGCCACAATAATATAATAATGAATTTAAATGAAAATACCTCAAGTTGAAGCTTTTCTCAGCAATTTCAGGTGAGATTAAAAAGAGATTAATTAGATTAATTAATTACAGATCATAATAATTAATCTCTTTTTTTTTAATCTCTTACAGCACTAATTTAAACAAACCAGAGACAAACAGAAACAGCAGAGATACAAATACATCACTACAAACGACGTGTCTGGACACAAATCGTTTCTGATGCGGTGATTTGTTTCAGAACCTGAGGACAAGTTGATGATGATGAAACACGACAGAGACTCGACCAACCTCCTGCTGGAGCCAGAGTCACGACTAAACTGGACGAGTCACAGTTTCAGATAAAACTTGGAAGAGTCTGGACATGTGAGACTCGACTCTGACTCTGTTTAAATCATTTCATTCTGAACTCTTCTCTCTCATTCGTGTCTCTCTCTTTTCAATTTGACCGATGATTATTTATGATGTGATTTGTTTGTTTTGTGATTTTTATGTATTTATTTTCCTGTGAAGCTCTTTGAAAGACTCTGTGCTTTAGAAATAAACTCACTTTGCCTTAACGTGTGAAAAAAACAGCAGACGCGTAAATGTCAAACCTAAAAGTATCTTTAACCTGTGAGAGAAAAGATGAGACAGAGTAAAGTGTGGTTTTTAACACTGTTACAGAGTATTTTCAACTACGGAAAAAAAGCAACACCAAAACTCAAACGTCCAACACTTTCCTCAGGACATGAAGATTTGAAAGTTTTAAATAACATTTTAAAATATGTTCAGTTTCCCAGTGATGCTGCGGTAAAGGATTCTCAAACAGTAGAAGTAAAAGTACAGCGCAGTACCTGACAGTAGAAGTAAAAGTACAGTGTAGTACCTGACAGTAGAAGTAAAAGTACAGTGCAGTACCTGACAGTAGAAGTAAAAGTACAGTGTAGTACCTGACAGTAGAAGTAAAAGTACAGTGCAGTACCTGACAGTAGAAGTAAAAGTACAGTGTAGTACCTGACAGTAGAAGTAAAAGTACAGTGCAGTACCTGACAGTAGAAGTAAAAGTACAGTGCAGTACCTGACAGTAGAAGTAAAAGTACAGTGTAGTACCTGACAGTAGAAGTAAAAGTACAGTGTAGTACCTGACAGTAGAAGTAGAAGTAAAAGTACAGTGCAGTACCTGACAGTAGAAGTAAAAGTACAGTGCAGTACCTGACAGTAGAAGTAAAAGTACAGTGTAGTACCTGACAGTAGAAGTAAAAGTACAGTGTAGTACCTGACAGTAAAGTGACAGTACCTGACAGTAGAAGTAAAAGTACAGTGTAGTACCTGACAGTAGAAGTAAAAGTACAGTGTAGTACCTGACAGTAGAAGTAAAAGTACAAAGTACAGTACCTGACAGTAGAAGTAAAGTGCAGTACCTGACAGTAGAAGTAAAAGTACAGTGCAGTACCTGACAGTAGAAGTAAAAGTACAGTGTAGTACCTGACAGTAGAAGTAAAAGTACAGTGCAGTACTGACAGTAGAAGTAAAAGTTACAGTGTAGTACCTGACAGTAGAAGTAAAGTACAGTGCAGTACCTGACAGTAGAAGTAAAAGTACAGTGCAGTACCTGACAGTAGAAGTAAAAGTAACAGTGCAGTGACAGTAGAAGTAAAGAGTACCTGACAGTAGAAGTAAAAGTACAGTAGTACCTGGACAGTAAAGTAAAAGTACAGTGTAAGTACCTGACAGTAGAAGTAAAAGTACAGTGTAGTACCTGACAGTAGAAGTAAAAACAGCGCAGTACTGACAGTAGAAGTAAAAAGTACAAGTACCGGTACAGTAACGAAGTTGACAGTGTAGTAGAAGTAAAAGTACAGCGCAGTACCCATAGAAGTAAAAGTACAGTGTTAGTACCTGAAGTAGTACACTGTAGTTGGAAGTAAAGTAGTAAAGTACCTGTAACAGTGTAGTACTGACAGTAGAAGTAAAGTACAGTGGGGGAAGTAAAAGCAGTGTACCTGACAGTAGAAGTAAAAGTACAGTGCAGTACCTGACAGTGTAAAGTCAGTAAAAGTACAGTGTAGTACCTGACAGTAAGAAGTAAAAGTACAGTGCAGTACGTGACAGTAGAAGTAAAAGTACAGTGTAGTACCTGACAGTAGAAGTAAAAGTACAGTGCAGTAGAGTAAAAGTAAGACAGTGTACTGAAGAAGTAAGAAGTACAGTGCAGTACCTGACAGTAGAAGTAAAAGTACAGTAGTACCTGACAGTAGAAGTAAAAGTACAGTTGCAGTACCTGAGTAGAAGTACAGTAGTACCTGACAGTAGAAGTAAAGTACAGTGTAGTGACAGTGTAAAAGTACAGTTAGTAGAGACAGTAGAAGTAAAAGTACAGTGCATAAAGTACCTGACAGTAGCTGACAGTAAAAGACAGTACCTGACAGTAGAAGTAAAAGTACAGGCAGTACCCTACAGTGTAGTGACAGAAGTAGTACAGTGTAGTGACAGTAGTAGAGTGTAGTACCTGACAGTAGAAGTAGTACCTGACAGTAGAAGAAGTACAGTAGTACCGACAGTAGAGTGCAGTACCTACAGTACCTAGAAGTAAAAGTACAGTGTAGTACCTGACAGTAGAAGTAAAAGACAGTAGACAGTAGAAGTAAAAGTGTAGTAAAAGTACAGTGTACCTGACAGTAGAAGTAGTACCTGACAGTAGACAGTAGAAGTAGTAGTACCTGACAGTAGAAGTAGTACAGTAGTACCTGACAGGAAGTACAGTGTAGTGTGTAGTACCTGACAGTAGAAGTAAAAGTACAAGTACCTGACAGTAGAAGTAAGTACAGTGTAGTACCTGACAGTAGAAGTAGACAGTGTAGTAGTAAAGTAAACAGTAGTGTAGTAGTACCTGACAGTAGAAGTAAAAGTACAGTGTAGTACCCAGTGCAGTGGAAGATGTACTCTGGGGTGGATTTCTTGAACTGATGTTCCAGACGAGAGCCACTCCGTCCGGTTCATGAGAGCATCGTCGTTATTGTTGTAGGAGGCGACAGCAGCTCCGGGTACTACACACAGAAACAGTACTTAAATATACTCAGAGTACTACACACGAGAACACAGTACTTTAAATATACTCAGAGTACTACACACGAGAACACAGTACTTTAAATATACTCAGAGTACTACACACGAGAACACAGTACTTTAAATATACTCAGAGTACTACACAGAGAAACACAGAGTACTACACAAGAACACAGAGTACTACAAGTACTCAGGAGTACACACAGAGACACAGTACTTTAAATACTCAGAGTACTACACAGGAGAACACAGTACTTTAAATACTTTATAACTCAGGTACTACACACGAGAACACAGTACTTTAAAACATTCATGCGTCCTTCTAGTGTTGAATCGTGAGCTGAGCTGGAGACGGTGTCGAGATCTTCACACTGACCTGAGGCGACCAGTCCAGACACGTGATGACTCGGTGTTTGGACCAGTGCTCGTCGTAGAAAACTCGAGAGAAGGACAGACTGGAGCCTCCGGACACGTCTCTGAAACACAACGAGAAGAACCGAGAAGAACCGAGACTTTGAGAAGAACTTAGGAAACATTTATGACACGACAAAAGACCAGAATGAACTGAAGGTAAAAGGAGCTGCAGACGTCTCTGATCTGACCAAGATTTTAAAACTTCTATCAGGTTTTTCATCTTGTTTTAGACTTAGACAAACTTTATTGATCCACAAATATAAATGGTAATAATAAATTCTATAATATTTTAGAGAATAATAAGTGGAATAATCAGTCCTTCTCCGTGTTTTGTCGAATCAAACACTTAAAAGCACAAATCTGAAGGTGGTTCTTTTATAAATGTGGATTTTCTTGATCGAACTCTTCCTCAGACTCTGTTCACTTCTGCTTCTCTCCACGAGTGTCGCTTTTTCCTCGTGTCTCCAGACTTTGCGTGGAGTTTACACGAGGTCCAGAGTTGGAGCAGAAATAAGAAAAGCGCTGGACTTCGGTCGAGTTTGATGAATCCGCGGTTGGCGTAGAGAGCGACGACGCCACGATTCAAACGAGCTTCATAAACGAGGCCCCGGGTCGAGTGTCACGGCTCCACGTGAGACTCACAAACACAACGGAGGCTTTTCTGCGCTGTGCCTGACCCACACTGCCAGATCAGTGTGTGAGCAGAGGTATAATACTCCCTACAACACAGACAGGAAGCAGAACCAGCTGAGTGTGGATTGGGCCAGTTTTTTCTGGTCGAGCTCGGTCCACGTCCAGCTCCACCCAAGTCTGACCAGTGTCGGGAGTAACAGATTACAAGTACCAGAGTAATCAGAGTACAAATGATGAGTAACTGTATTCAGTTACAGTTACTGTTTCAGTGAGTGGGAATTGGATTACAGTTACTTTGTTGAAAAAAAATAGATTACACAGAGGGATTTACTGTTTCACATTTTGGGCTAAACCAGGACTAAACCAGGACTAAACCAGGACTAAACCAGGACTAAACCAGGACTAAAACCAGGACTAAACCAGGACTAAAACGACTAAACCAGGACAAACTAAAACCAGGACTAAACCAGGACTAAACCAGGACTAAACCAGGACTAAACCAGGACTAAACCAGGACTAAACCAGGACTAGACTGAGACGTTTCATTTTCTAGAGGTCGATTATTTGAAGATTTAACTTGTCATGAAAATGATTTTGCTGCATGTTTCAAGTGTTTAGATCTTAAATTTTTGCACAAGCTTTTTTGCAGTGAACTTGAAAACTACCACTTCATGACATCACAAGATGGATCCGAGCGTTTGGAGCTTTGAAGACGTAGACAAACTAAGAAAAAAAGAATGATATAAATCAAGTCTTGATTTAGTCCTGTTTAGTCCTGGTTTAGTCCTGGTTTAGTCCTGGTTTAGTCCTGGTTTTAGTCCTGGATCACTGCTGGATCACACAGATTTTAAAGACACATGGGAACAGAACAATTCTACTATTTAAAGTGGAGAATCACAGTGGGTCAAGACGTCCCCGTTTCCCCGGGACAGTCCCAGTCCTGATCCTGTGTCTCTGTCCCTGCAGATTTATACAAAACCACTGACTTGTCCCAATTTTTTACGAATATATATATAAGAAATGTCCCAGTGTCTCTATTTTTGACTTTTTGACTAGGACTAAACCAGGACTAAAACAGGACTATCACAATTTTTGACTAATCTGATCCTCACCGACAAGAAAAGACGAGTAGAAATTGTCATTTGTTTTGCCAAAATACTTCAATCCGTGTTTGCGAAGGACCATAAAACAAAAAAAATGCAGTGACAGAAGATCATGACTGACAAGAGAAAACACAATCTTACACACTCTTTGCTCTTTTCACGATTTTATTCACACAAACATCCAAACCCGAGTGTCCAAGTCTAGAATTTTGAAGATTTGGTCCTCAATCCCTCAGTTTGTCTAAAGAAAGAGTTATATAACACTTTATAATAACTACACCTTATTCAGCCTTAATAAAGCATGAACAAAGACTTAATTAATAATGAACAAAGACTTAATTAATAATGATTCACGCTTAGTAACTACTTAATTACTACTTTAATTAGCACTTGCACTTAATTTGCCTGTGCTGTAAACAGTTACTCTTAATTATTTCATACTTAATTACTCATGAACTAACCATCTGAGCATTTATTAATCATTAGTAAACTATGAGAGAATGATTTACTAATAATGTAATGTAATGATCATTCAGGCAGCTGTTATGTTAGTTAAGTCTTTTTGAGCTTTTCTAAAGTGAAGACAAATGATCATTTATTAAACATTTACTAAGCGTGAATCATTATTAATTAAGTCTTTGTTCATGCTTTATTAAGGCTGAATAATGTGTAGTTACTATAAAGTGTTACCAGAGTTTTTTATTATTATTATTATCATTATGTTATCAGAATCATCCTCGTATTGAAATAGAGTTTGAAATGTTCGTATCGTGTGACTGTGTTTTCTTCATTGGCGTGAGGAGATGTATGTTTTGGCGTGAGGAGATGTTTTGGCGTGAGGAGATTTGGCGTGAGGAGATGTTTTGGCGTGAGGAGAGTGAGGAGATGTTTTGGCGTGAGGAGATGTTTTGGCGTGAGGAGACGTTTTTGGGCGTGAGGAGATGTTTTCGCGTGAGGAGATGTTTTCGCGTGAGGAGATGTTTCCGCCCGTGCGTCTCACCCGTCCTTGTGGTGGTCGCGGCCGCTGTAGTCGTAGTAGATGTGGCTGTCTTCTGCCAGGGCTCTCTCCATGACTCGGATGGAGCAGTCGAAGAAGCTCTGGAAGTCTGCGGAGTGAAGGATCTGCTGCCGCTCCTCCTCCGTCAGCTCCCGGAGCAGAGGAACCACACCTGGGGACACGAAGGAGACAAACGGGGACAAACGGGGACACAGATACGTCATTACTCTGTCTGGAATGTTCCACAGTGTGACATTAAACAGCTCTACTTTACATTTATTCAATTACAGGTGGTTTTATAGCTCAGAAATACAGAGAAAAACAGACATTTATGACAAATGCTTATAACAAAACTGACAATTATTTATGGACTTAAAAACATCTTTACCTCTGATGTAACAATCTCGGAAAATTCTAAAGTCCATTTTTTTTAAGTGCTTATTGAACGTGGACTTCCTAAAATAGAATTCATCAAACAATGGTGCTATGTATGTTTCTAATGAAAGAACAACGTTAAACTCTAAATATTTTACATGTGTCTTTTTAAAAAGCAGAATCATGTATTTATCATTTATTCATTCTTTAAACACTCCATTTACACCAGACACCTCAAGTCCAGTTTATTTTATTTCATTTTTTATGCCTTTATTTTTTTAGTGCATGTGAAAAAAAAAAAAACTTCACAAAAATAAATTCTTGTCGTGTTATTTGTAAATTGTATTTTCATTGTAACATTCGTAACGTACAGAAAAACGTTTTGTGGCTCTAAACCAGGAGAGTCAAACTCATTTTGTTCCGGGGGTCGTGTCCAACCGACTTTTGATCCAAAGTGTCCGGATCAGAAAACTCAATGTCATATAAACCCCAAAAATAACAAGAAGTTCAAATATTTGTGCAGAGAAACACAAATCTATTACAGAAATCTTTTTTAATTAATGAACTCTTTCTTTTACAAAATATATATAATATTATGAACAACCTGAAACTTTAAGAAAAACGTGAATTTCAACACAAAGTTTGAACATGAACTTGTCTGTAAACAGAATAAGTCCATTTTTGTTGTAAAATCCTGCACTCGGCTCCACTTTTCTCATGTTGGACATTTTTCTGATGAGGGTGTCACGGTCAACAGTCAAAACCGATCGTCCTTTAAGAGCGTTTGGAAAGAGACAAGTCTTCATTTGTGCTGCTCTGGTGGGAGGGGCCACGTACAGAGACGCTGGAGACGCTGCTGTGATATAAACACCACAAAAATTAACAAGATTTTAATAGAAAATGTAATTAAAATATTTTAATAGAAAATCAGCTGAGGGCCACATTAAAGGTCTTGGAGGGCCGGATCTGGCCCCCGGGCCGTATGTTTGACACCTGTGTTTTAACGGCTTAAATCTGATCATAAAGCAAAAAATAATAAAAAACTTCCAGCATGAGGCAAAAAAAAGTCCACAGGATAAAAACTGACTCCAAAAATACAGCGTTGTGTCTCACGTAAGTCGAGGCAAAACGGGTATGAAAGAACAATGTGTTTATCATAATAATTCTTTAGGTTAATAATTTATTTGATCTTTTATTTTGTTTGTTTAAGTATTTATTCTTTTTTATTCCTGTCGTGTTATTTGTAAATTGTATTTTCATTGTAACATTCGTAACGTACAGAAAAACGTTTTGTGGCTCTAAACCAGAAGGAAAAACCCAAAACCCCTTTCAGTGCGAGTGTGAAATAAAAGCTGATTTCACATAAACGCCGCCTCCTCCAGGGGAATGAAACTGCGATGAGCATCTGTCGACCTCTGACCTCCGCCGCCGCCGCTCCTCCTAATCGGCCTCTGAGAACCGAGCAATTTTACCTTCAATCTCCCGCGCCCCCGACTCTCGCCGCCGCTTTAAAATCCTCCTCTATTTATCCTCCACAGAGACGCTTTCATATTCAGAAGAAGGAAAACAAAAACCTGGTCCAGGACCAGACTCCGAACCACAGAACTGGACTCTGCACATTCTGCACACGGGTCCTGTTTGTTTGTGACGTAAACTCGAACACGACCTGAGCACATCTGACCTGAGCACATCTGACCTGAGCACATCTGACCACAGCCTCAGTGCTGGGAGAGGAGATGAGTTTAGAGTTTAGACCTGGTTTAGTTTAGACCTGGTTTAGTCCTGGTTTAGTCCTGGTTTAGTCCTGGTTTAGTCCTGGTTTAGACCTGGTTTAGACCTGGTTTAGACCTGGTTTAGTCCTGGTTTAGTCCTGGTTTAGTCCTGGTTTAGTCCTGGTTTAGTTCTGGTTTAGACCTGGTTTAGACCTGGTTTAGACCTGGTTTAGTCCTGGTTTAGTCCTGGTTTAGACCTGGTTTAGTCCTGGTTTAGACCTGGTTTAGTCCTGGTTTAGACCTGGTTTAGTCCTGGTTTACCTGGTTTAGACCTGGTTTTAGTCCTGGTTTAGTCCTGGTTTAGTCCTGGTTTTAGACCTGGTTTAGTCCTGGTTTAGACCTGGTTTAGTCCTGGTTTCCTGGTTTAGACCTGGTTTAGTCCTGGTTTAGTCCTGGTTTAGTTTAGTCCTGGTTTAGTCCTGGTTTCCTGGTTAGACCTGGTTTAGTCCTGGTTTTGGTTTAGTCTTGGTTTAGTCCTGGTTTAGTCCTGGACCACTGAGGGATTACACAGATATATAAGGTCACGTGGGAAGAGAAAGTTTGAAAATCGTCGTTTGTCCAAAGAAAAAGGAATAAAAGATGAAACAAAAGTCTGAATCGTTCGACTGATGACGTCAAATAAACGACTTTGAACCTGAAGAGTCGGTCCCCACTCTGCCTGCTGCACCGGCGCACACACTCGCCGCCTCTCGGACTTTGATGTGGTCCTGGGTCCTGGGTCTTTGGTCTTTGGTGTTTTGGTGTTTTGGTGTTTTGGTGTTTTGGTCAGATCAAAGACTGGACCTTCTAATGGTGGGACAGCGGTGAGTGTGTGAGCCGCACTGAGGACCTTTGTTCAGCCTCGGCTCCGTCCTCCACTTCAGACTCGGGTTTGTTTAGTTATTTGTGCTTAAACTGCTGCGTTTGTTTACGCCTCGACGTTTCACTTCTCCTCAAAGGCTCCAGTCATGTCCAGACGTCTGCAGGAGGAGGGAGGAGCTCGGAGTAGAGCCGCTGCTCCTCCACGTGGAGAGGAGCAGCTGAGGGGAGGAGGAGCTGTTCTAAACATCTCCTCACACCTCCTCATCTCCTCACACCTCCTCACACTCATCTCTCACATCTCCTCATCTCCTCACATCTCCTCACATCTCCTCACGTCTCCTCACACCTCCTCACACCTCCTCACACCTCCTCACCTCCTCATCTCCTCACACTCCTCACATCTCCTCATCTCTCCTCACATCTCCTCACACCTCCTCACATCTCCTCACACCTCCTCACACCTCCTCACCTCCTCACATCTCTCCTCACACTCCTCACTCCTCCTCATCTCCTCACACCCTCACATCTCCTCATCTCTCACATCTCCTCACATCTCCTCACATCTCCTCACATCTCCTCATCTCCTCTCATCTCCTCACATTCTCCTCATCTCCTCACTCTCCTCACATCTCCTCATCTCCTCCACCTCCTCATCTCCTCACCTCCTCATCTCCTCACATCTCCTCATCTCCTCACATCTCCTCATCTCCTCATCTCCTCATCTCCTCACATCTCCTCACATCTCCTCACCTCCTCACATCTCCTCACATCTCCTCACATCTCCTCACACCTCCTCACACCTCCTCACGTCTCCTCACATCTCCTCACACCTCCTCACATCTCCTCACACTCCTCACGTCTCCTCACATCTCCTCACACCTCCTCATCTCCTCACATCTCCTCACACATCTCCTCACATCTCCTCATCTCCTCACACATCTCACCTCTCACGTCTCCTCACATCTCCTCACACCTCCTCCATCTCCTCACATCTCCTCACATCTCCTCACATCTCCTCACATCTCCTCACGTCTCCTCACATCCTCACATCCTCACACTCCACATCCTCATCTCCTCACACATCTCCTCACATCTCCTCACATCTCCTCACCTCCTCCTCCTCACATCTCCTCACACCTCCTACATCTCCTCACATCTCCTCACACCTCCTCACATCTCCTCACATCTCCTCACATCTCCTCACCTCCTCACATCTCCTCACATCTCCTCACATCTCCTCACATCTCCTCACATCTCCTCACATCTCCTCATCTCCTCACATCTCCTCACATCTCCTCACATCTCCTCCTCACATCTCCTCACACCTCCTCATCTCCTCACACTCCTCATCTCCTCACATCTCCTCACATCTCCTCACATCTCCTCACATCTCCTCACATCTCCTCTCCTCACACCTCCTCACATCTCCTCACATCTCCTCATCTCCTCACACATCTCCTCACATCTCCTCATCTCCTCACACATTCTCCTCATCTCCTCACAATCTCCTCACATCTCCTCACATCTCTCCTCACATCTCCTCACACCTCCTCACATCTCCTCACATCTCCTCACATCTCCTCACATCTCCTCACATCTCCTCACACCTCCTCACATCTCTCTCATCTCCTCACATCTCCTCACACTCTCTCTCACCTCCTCAACATCTCCTCACACTCCTCCTCCTCACACATCTCCTCACATCTCCTCACACCTCCTCACACTCACATCTCCTCACTCCTCATCTTCCTCCACAACGTCTCCTCACATCTCCTCTCACATCTCCTCACATCTCCTCACATCTCCTCACATCTCTCACATCTCCTCACATCTCCTCCTCACACATCTCCTCACATCTCCTCACATCTCCTCACATCTCCTCACATCTCCTCAATCTCCTCACACCTCCTCACATCTCCTCACTCCTCCTCCATCTCCTCATCTCCTCACATCTCCTCACATCCCTCACATCTCCTCACATCTCCTCACGTCTCCTCACTCTCCTCTCACCTCCTCACATCTCCTCACATCTCCTCACATTCTCCTCACCTCCTCACATCTCCTCACATCTCCTCACATCTCCTCACATCTCCTCACATCTCCTCACATTCTCCTCACACCTCCTCACATCTCCTCACACCTCCTCATCTCCTCACGTCTCCTCATCTCCTCACATCTCCTCATCTCCTCACATCTCCTCACATCTCCTCACATCCTCCTCATC